AAGCCACAGACAACCACCATTTTTGCTAAATTCTCACGATCTCTATCTTTGTTATATTTGCGTAAAACATGACCAGAAGCAGGGTCACGTTGTTGTTGAATTTGATTAGAACCAGATCCACTAGGAGTGTCAGTACTGATGGTAGGATCTATAATTTTTCCGGCTTCTATGTTAGCTTGTATCTATACAGATTTGTGATCCCTTATTAAGTGTCTACTTAAACCCCCCATCCCACCACTTGTTGTGTGTGCAAATACTTGCTTATATTTTTCACATATAGCACGATGATTGACTTTATCATGTTTAAAAAATTTTCATACAAGTGATGTTTTGGGACGTTCAGCCTTAGGCTTACTCCTTACAGAAGATTAATTTTTTGTGGGAAAAATGGAAGAAGAATGGGGTNACAAATATACGAATAATTGTTATATTTGTGTAGAATTTTAATTTTTAAGAGGTTTAAGTGATTTTGAAATATAAGTATGTATTCGCAACCAAGTTTTTATAGGAGTGTCTAGAGTAATTTAATAAATCAAAAAGAAGAAGCTTCTGGGTAGTGTACAATGTACATCAGTATATGCAATGTAATATGAATCTTTGAAATGGCCCGGTAAAAATGGTATTATCAAAAAGTCAAAGGGACTAATATATATACTATTGGAAAATGCCAAAAATAAAGGAGAAAATTATCTTTATAAAGCTCTGATTCGACTTTCAGATAGTCTTTTGGCGTGCAATACTCAGATATATATGTCCTAAAAATTTTAAACTATGTCAGGCACTACTTTAATTTTGATTCTGTTTAGGATTTAAAATATTTATAGGAATATATTTAAGTGCAAAATCTATGGGGTAGAAATCATTCAAGCGTGAGTCCATATATTTTCTTAAAGGAATTTTTATATTTCTATGCCACGTAGGAAACTTTATTACTCTCAATGTTTAGGGTTTGACTTAATTACACTTAGTATACTAAATTACCAATTCTATACCATAGTGTATTTTAACCTAAAAAGCTAGCATCCTTACCTTGAGCAGTTTTTGTTAACATATTAAAATATGTCACCTAATTGAGTTCAGCTCATAAATTTTTTTTATGATACAGATTGTTTGAAAATATGCATAAAATCATAATCATTTAAAACCAACGGCGAATAAATTTTTGTACTTAATATGGTTTTAGGAATAAATGGCGAGCAACTTGTTGGTACTAGTCAAATTACACAAAGCGTGTGAAAAACTTTAATTTGGTTAGTTAACAAAAGCTGAATTCAATTAAATTTTGCTATCTATCTAATACAGATTGTCAAGCATATTTGGATCGTGCAAATATGTTCAATTAAATTAACATGCATTCACCTGCCGCTAGCATTCAAATATATTCTGCATGTTGACACGAAAGCATAAATCTAACCTGCTAGTGTGTGGGATTGAGGTTCGATTGTAGCTTGTAGCTTAATTGGTATTTTCGACACTGGTACAATTTCTCATTCAAGTGTAGCTTAATTGGTATTTTTGACATAATTCCGTTTTTTGCAGAAGATTTGTAGAAGTTTTAGTCGTTTTTTATTTGTGAAAACAAAAAACAAACATCTACAATCAGAATACAAATAATCTACAATTTATCTACAAAATATCTACAAACTGGGTACATTAAATTTTAATACCCTAATTCCCATTCAATTGTAGCTTAATTGGTATTTTCGGCATAATTGCGTTTTTTGCAGAAGATTTTGTAGAAGTTTTAGTCATTTTTTATTTGTGAAACAGAAAACAAAGCATCTACAATTAGAATACAAATCATCTATAATTTATCTACAAAATATCTACAAACTTGGTACATTGAATTTTTATATCCCAATTCCCATTCAATTGTAGCATAATTGTGATTTTTGACATAATTGCGTTTTTTCAGAAGATTTGTAGAAGTTTTAGCCATTTTTTATTTGTGAAAACAGAAAATAAAGCATCTACAATCAAAATACAAATAATCTACAATTTATCTACAATTTCTGCAATATGTCTTCTTCTTCTTCTTCTTCTTCTTCTTCTTCTTCTTCTTCTTCTTCTTCTTCTTCTTCTTCTTCGAGTTTCAATCTGAAATTCAGTCAAAACCAAGTCTAATCTTCACCAAAACCACTCAAAATTGAAATATAAACTCCAAACCATATTCCTGATTATTTTCAACAACACCCAATCCAAACAAATAATGATTTTTGAAAACCCAAATTTGAATTCAAATCTTCAAGCTTTTTAATGGTTGTCAATGGTGAAAAATATCTGGAAGAATATTTACTTCCATAATTGTAGCGTGCCTAAATAGGAATATCTGGAAGTATATTTAGTTCCTGATTTGTAGCGCGCCTAATTAGGAAGGAATCGGCTCCTAATAATTGGCAATGATCAGCAATTCTTTAATTTTTTGCTTATCCGTCTCTCGATTTGTATTTTTAATGGAGATGCTAAGTGAGTTCCTGTGCAAGGAAAGGAGTGGCAAGGTCTTAATAAACTTGTTCAACTACTGTAAAGATTGTAGGATATGATTTCAAGGAGAAGAGATTTAAGCATCTGCATCGGTCTGCAATTGGATTCCTAGAAACAATATTCTTTTATTCAGGGACATCATCTTCCCAAACTTCAAGGGAAGCACCTTTAAAAGGAGAAGCGCTGGTGAGAACACAGTTTCAAGAAGAACCTTAAATATATACCATTCATAATTAGTATTTAATGAATGGTATATATTTTGTAGAATAACTGTGAACATGGCGGGTAAATATGAAACTATGCACATTTTTAATAATAAGGTTTCATATATGGTATAGGAAGGAAAAAGTCTCTTTCTTAAATCATTCAGGAAAATCGGCCCTTTATGTTTGGGTAGGTCTAAATTGGTCCTTTATATTTATCCTTGAGCACTTATATTACTAAATTTGTAAAAATGAGCACTTTTATGTCTCCGCTAAAATCTAAACTAATAATATCAGATAATTTTAAAGGATCATACGTAATCTATACTATATTAAAAGCACGACGGCCCTTAGCGAAATATTATTCGCCTTTTTTACCCTTTAAGAATATAATTCACATTAGACAAAACAGTCATTTAACTAATATTTAGGAATTTAGAAAAAAAACTATAACTTTATTTAATAAATCTTCCCTTATTTGAACTATATAAGAAATCCTAATATTTAGGACTTTAAGTTCAAATACGATTTACTTTCTATAAATCATTTACCTTTTAAATTAATGAGCTTTAAGTTACACATAATTCTAAAATTTGAGAATATTGTTATTTGTGTATTTGTTTTTATTTTATTTTGTTAGAGTTAGAACGATTGTGTTCTATAATTAGATATCACAACTAATTTGTTTAGTGATTCAATTATCACGAACCAATACTTAGGAGTTAGGACAAGGTAAAATATGATTCTACCACTTTAGTTAAAAGATTTTATGATCCTTCGGTTCAAAGAATAATGTTTTAAATTTCCTAGATTATTTAAACTGTTAGTATTTCTTTCCAATACTTTATTTCACAAAACATGGGGTTACAACTTAGATATGCTTATTCTATTTTCTTTGGAATATGATTGCTTGAGATTAAGCTTTTGTTCGAATATTTAGTACTTCCTCCGGTTCAAAATAAGTAATTTTTTAGTTGTTTTCACACAGATTAAGAAATCCATCTTTTAACATTAATTAACAATGAAATTGATCATATTAACATTTACTATCTCTTCACATAAATATTCCTAACACATACTCCAACATTATTTATTCCAAGGGCAATGTAGGAAAAAAACAATTAATTCATTCTTGAAATATGGAAAAATCACTTATTTTGGACCACAAAAAAAAGGCCAAAAATTACTTATTTTGGACCGGAGGGAGTAGTTTAAATCAACTAAACTTTTGTGCATTAAATTCTTCATTATTTGAATATATAAAAGATTCTCATATTAAATACCTTGTATAAAACTGTTTCTTATTTGAATTATGTAATATAACTTTTTTTACAAAATATAAAAATAATCTAAAATTAAATGGCAAAGTCCACGAAGAATAAGTAAGAACTAACTGTTATTAAAGTCGGTAATATTAGGCGACACTCCTTCAATATTTAAGGATATTTAGTTCTCAAACTCTAAGTCTTTTGCTTTATAAATATATATAATATCTAAATTTCTTTTTTGGAAGGTGTTCTAATACATATCAATTATGGATCTTATTAGTTCATATATTTTTTTTTCCCTATGTTTTATAACTATAATTACTACAGTAATAATTATACCAGCTCAAATGGCTAGCCACCTAAATAGAATCGATATATATCATTTTCAGAAACTTATCTTAGTTTTAGCTTATATTTAATAACTCAAACATACTAATTAATAATATATGTATAATTCTAAAAAATGATGCTCATCGATATAGGGTACACGTGCAACGCGCGTACCCTAAGACTAGTATGCTTTAAACATACATGAACACCTCAAGTATCCATCTTTTAATACATTGCAGCGAGGGGCGGAGGCAGAGTGCGCAGTGTCGGATGCGGGTTCAGCCGAACTCAGTAACATTTGTTCAAACTATGTATCCGTAATTTTAAGAAATTCATTGAATATATATAACTTATTAATTTAGAACTCAGTAAATTAAAAGTATTACAATCCCGAACCCATAAAGTTCAAATCCTGGCTCCGCCTCTGATTGCAGTATATAAATGTTATGTCATTGCAATGCAAAGCTGGAATGGGATATATTATTACAAGCTTTGATTAATTTCCAGTTTATTAAGGAAATAATATAATAAGTTCAGCAAATCTGGTGTTCATGATTCTTTTTAGAAAGTCACTAAATTTTATACTCTCCATAGTATGTTGTTTAAGTTCTTGCTTAAATAAGCCATACGCTATAGCAATATAAAATTGAAGTAATTAGGAACACAGTTGAGTAGTAATGTCATTATTTTTACGAATAGTTCTATTTCTTTATAGATGGCTTATTTTCTGATGAATATTGTTACTAGTCTTATACTTCTCTTTATTGTGGGGCTTTCTAATGCTGATATTAGCTTCAACAACAGTTACGAACCTACATGGGGAGAAAACCATTTATCCATCATTAACCAAGGAACTGAAGTAACACTTCTTTTAGACAACTCCTCAGGTTTATTCTCACTTCTTTTCTCTCTCTTTTTTTTCTTTTTCTTTTTGCTATGTCTTTAATCACTTTGAAAAAAAAGAAGGAATAGTATGATTTTATATAGCCGATTCCAATTGGCTTGAAATGTTAGAATTGTGATTATTTCTAACTGTGGCTATACAACTCATGTTAGTTTAACTTATACTAACATATAATTTTTGTGTGTGTATGTAGGAGCTGGTTTTAAGTCCAAATTCCTATACGAATCTGGCTTATTTGTAATCAGGATGAAGTTACCAGACAAGAAAACTGGAGGAGTTATCACATCTCTCTACGTATAGAATTATAATACTCAATCTTTTCTTTCTACACTCAAAATTACATTAGAGTAATTATTGGTACATAAGAATTTTCACCTTTTTCTCTATTTTTGACTTGACAATTGGTTTTTGGCAGCTAACCTCACAAGTAGATGGTTCACCACCAGGGACCCACGATGAGATCGATTTCGAGTTTCTGGGTACACAAGGGAAACTACAAACCAATGTATTTGCTAATGATTGGGGTTTTAGAGAACAAATATTCCAACTTCCCTTTGATCCTTCACAAGATTTTCATACCTATCAAATTCTCTACAATCCATTCCAAATAGTGTAAGCAAACTACATCCCTTTTTATTTAAGAATAAGCTAAGTGGTGTTCAAATCAGCTGTCACTCACCTTAATGGTGTTCAAATCAGATGTTGGAGGCCCACATTGTTTGAGGGTACGGGTTACCGTCTCTTTATATGGCCTAGGCACATGAGTAGGGCAGATCATTTTTCTTAGCATGACATCAAAGGCTGACCCATCATGCATTTTCTTGGTTTACTCAATGTTGGGCTTCCATGTTACTTCATGCTCAAGCGTTCAACCCTGGGCGTAAGGTGTTAAAATCTCACATTGGTTGAGGGCATAAGTTGTTATCTATCTCCTTATATGTCTTTCCGCAATTTTCATCTCATGAGTTAGTTTTTACGATTGAGCTAAGTTCAAAAAGTCTATATTCTTAACCTTGATCTTTTTTGCAGTTTCTTCATAGATGATATACCAGTAAGGGAATTCATGAACCTCAAAGTGAAAGCAAATGTAAATTACCCGACAAGTCCAATGCAGATAGAGGCAAGCGTATGGTACTCAAACAGCAGTGGTTGGGCTGGAGATATTGATTGGAGTTTAGCACCATTTATAGCTCATTATCAACACTTCAAAATTTCAGGTTGTTTTCCACAACCTGGGAATGATTGTTCTTCACCAGTTAACCAACCATGGAACAGATTTAAGGTTCTCAGCCCTCTACAGAGACAAAAAATGGCCAATTTTAGGAAACAGTATATGACTTATGATTATTGTGTCCCAGGCTTTGTTCAGTTCCCAGAATGTTCTTATAATAATTCTTAGTTGTCTTGTTTCATTGGATCAGTATTAGAACCAACACAATAATTAATGGAATAAAAAACGAAGGGAATTTGGACTTCTGATTGGTAACATATATGAATATATATTATATCTTAATACCGCAAGGATATCCTTTGGAGTACTAGAGGTTTCATCGTCCAACTGTTGAATAACAATTTAGTGTCCATCATTTTTGTCTTTGAATATCTCAATATACTTGATTTCTGATCTAATATTGGAACACAATTTTTGTCTTTAAGTGCAGAATGATTATCCTCGTTCTTCACCTAGGACTAGGGGTGGCAAAATGGTTAAAAGAAAATAGTTAACCACTCATATTATCTATTAAAAAATGAATTAGATAATGAACTATTTAAAAACATGTCAAATATGGATAAGACTCATATTTTTCATTTAGAAAATGAATAATTAATGAGTAACCAATAGATAACCAATGAGTCTAACTTGTACATTTGTAAAGCCTCAAATTGGGGTTCCTCGGGTTAAGGGAATAAGAATAGAGAGAAATTCACTTTTAGCCGGTCGGAGAAAACAAATATCATCCAGTAGCCATAAATATTAGTCAGACAACTCATAACCCCAAACTAATTATACCGGCTAGCCCAAACTTACCGTATGCAAACTATTTTTACTCCTCTTTCTTTTTTTCACGGTTCAAATATTCCATAAGTACACGATTTGTTAGGTGCAGAAGAATTAGATGAGCAAATTAAAGAGTTGTAGTCGTTGGACGAGAGAAAGTGATTACTAACACCTAAGAATTGCAACGTACCTATTTGGACAACAAATATACACAGTACAGTGTGCCAACTGTATTGTCCCCAAAACAAATACCTATCAAACTAATAGAGCTACACACTGCAGAAATTGCAATATTGTGGTATCATGTATGACTTCTTCTACCTGGCATATGTAAGCTCAATTTTCTTTATTCTTATTTTTTCCCCCAGTTTCGAAGCTTGNAAAAAAATTATACAATGTAATAGTGTATATACAATTCCATCTCTTTTTTTGCTCACCAAAAATAACCCAAAGACTGGAAAAATTCTCGTAGTTACAATTGTATAATTAGTGTATATATATTGTATAATTAGTGTATACTGTATAAAAATTCAAAGTGTATACAGATACATAGATATTATACATAAAAGATACACTAAATATACATTGTACATGTATACACAAATTATACATCTCATATTCAAGAAGAAGAAGAAGAAGAAAGCAGCAGCAATAACCACCTCCACAAATACACTTCACCTTTTACTTCTTCTTAGGAAATGCACATAAATGCATCCAAAAGATTCATGAAGCCCAACCTCCAAACGGCTCACAAAGCACCAACTACCCACCAACAACATTATATATTGTATAAATATTGTATATAAATTGTATAATAGTACATATACACCTATTATACAACATATAGACATTATATATACATTTGTAAGGTAGCTGCAAAAAAGTCGGAGCCGAAAAGGAAAGCAAAAGGGAAGGTCACAGGAGTCTTTATCTGATCGCAGCCATGACCGATAGATATCACTAGCCAAGTATTTGCTATAATTCCTTAAAGATCTAGAATTGCATGACTTTTATAGAAGAGGAAGGAAGCAACACGGAAGATAATAAAATTATCATTGGTTAGAGGTAGTGGTGGAGATTGTTTAGGCAAAGAAAAATTATGTCTATAAATTTTCGAATCACAGTGGATGATTGTTGGTCTCGATTTGATTTTGTGGTTGAGATTTAAGAGTGTTTTGAGAGGGAGATGAAGATTTACTTATGGAAATATGGTGAATCGGTGGTAGTGAGATCAGTGGTGGAGATAAATTGGAGCGGTGGTGTGAGGAAGGCGGTGGAGATAAGCTGGATTGGTGGTGATTATATCGATGATGGAAGTGGGAGGAGAATAACAAACAACTAGAGGAGTAGGAAATACGAATGAATTGGAAAGAGAAGTGCATTGGAAATTGTGACTACAACTTGCAAAAGAATTGGGCCTAAAGGCCATTTCGGGTCAAAGATGAAAATATGGGCTATTAAAATATTTGGACGGCCATACAACGTCATTTACTCATAAGAATTTTCCAAAAAGTGATCATATACAAGAAGTCATGAATAATATGGGTAACTCATATTATCCGTCGGTTAACCCATTTTTTATCCATATTAAATATGGGTCGGGTCGGATAATTGATCCATTTTTTCATTACACGTTTTCGACCGAACCATATCCGACCCGACCCGCCCGTTTGTCACTCCTACCTAGGACTCATCACTAATGGAGGTGAGTTCATTACTTAAATGATCACTCAATTATTTGAAATTATAAGTAAAGTCATTTTTTTTTTAGTTTGTAATAGAAAAGTCACTTAGCTATGTCTATAGCATTCAGAAGGTCTCTTAACCAGATTTCTCAAATTTTTAATTGTCAAATACCTATTTACCCTCTAAAATAGGTATTTGATATTATGGACTTACCTATAAAATAAATAAATTTTATCTATAAAATAAAAAATAAAAAATTAATTTTCTAGCATATATACTTTCAGAATAATAATAGAATTGAATATAATTTTCAATAATATATAATATATATTATAAAACTACTTTTATTTTAAATATTTATTTTTATTATAGTTCGATGACCTACTCTGCAATTAACCCTTATTTCTTAGGTAAAAGAAAAGAAATTGCTATAAATATATACTAATATAAATATTTTTGAACAAGGTACTTTAAAAAATAAACTAAAAAATAGAAGCCAAACAAAAACTGATTAGTGTTATAAAATAAAGACTGTAAAGTAAAGACAAGTATATAGAGAAACTGTTATATTATTTGAATTCAAACTGATGTATATAATGAACTGAAATTTCTTCTATTTATAGAAGAAAAGAAGATGTTGTGTAAGCTGCTACTATACCAGATATGGATAATCTTCTACTGAGAGCAATGTTTATCCATAACGGAGTACTGAAAGGATAAGCTTATTATACCTGATATGGATAATCTTCTACCGGGGGTAATGTTTATCCATAATTGGGTACTGAAAGGATAAGCTTATTATACCCGGTATGGATAATCTTCTACCGGGGATAGTATTTATCCATAACTGGGTACTGAAAAGATAAGCTTATTATATCCGGTATGAATAATCTTCTATCGGGGGNNTACTTAAATAGATAAACATATTTACGGTGGAGTCCCATATGGATAAGCTTCTTCAGGAAGCTTATTTACAACGGAGTACTAAATGAACATTCATAATATAATATATTTATAATACTCCCCCTTGGATGTTCATTAAAGATAATGTGTCTCATTAAAACCTTACTAGGAAAAATCACGTGGGAAAAAAATCCTAGTGAAGGAAAAAAAGTACACATATTTAGTAATACGCATTGCTGGCTGCCTCATTAAAAACCTTATAAGGAAAACCCTTTGGGAAAAACCTTAGTAAGGGAAAAAGAGTACAACACGCATTTTACTCCCCCTGAAGAAAACCTTATTTCAAATATTTGAGTCTCCGCATTCCAATCTTGTATACCATATTCTCAAAAATTGATGTTGGTAAAGACAATCTGTTGGATTGTCACTTGAACTAATTTGATGCACATCAATGTCACAATTTTCCTGAAGATCATGTATGTAGAATAATTCTGGTGAAATGTTCTTCGTTCTATCTCCTTTTATAAATCCTCCCTTTAATAGTGCTATGCATGAAACATTGTCTCCGTATAATATTGTGGGTCTTTTATCACATTCCAACCCACATGTTTCTCGAATGAATCACTGATCTCAATCATATGCACTCCCTGCTTGCCGGTTTGAAATCGAGCTTTATGGGTATCGGATAAATAACCTGCATCTGCATTACCAATACGATCTGCACCACTTTTGTTAGCATTAGCAAGATAAATAAGTGCACCATCTACACCGAGATAGAGTATTTCAGGACCAAGGAGCTCCTCATCCTCTTCTAGAGGTTGGAACGGATCCTTATTCACTTCAAGTGATTGAATATTCATTGGTGTACTTAATGGGTACACTTTGTCCATGTAAAAGTATTTTTAAGACCCTCTTGGAGCTCTTCCGGAGTTCCAATAAGATTTATGTCACCAACATAAACAGCAAGTGTAACAAATTTTGATGACATTTTCTTTATAAAAATACATGGACAAATAACATAATTTATGTAACTTTCTTTCAGCAAATATTTACTGAGGCGATTATACCACACGCGCACAGATTGCTTTAAACCGTACAAAGATCTTTATAATTTGATCGAGTACATTTCTCAAGACTTTGAATTATATGCTTCGGGCATTTTCAATCTTTCAAGGATCTTTATATAGATTTAGCCAAATAAGTCATATAGGTTAAGACTTGTATTTAAATGGTATGACATCTTCAAGTGTCTGGACTGCTAGTCCGATCCTCACAATCTTTTACAATATTGTGCACTATATTGTATTAAATATATCGTCGACGATCATTTTGTGTCAGTTCCGAAGCGACATAACTTGTGGAGATCTCATCACTTTCTTTATTTTCAGGTACCTGAACTTTTTCGGGAGTTTCATGAAATGTTATGTCGTGGGCTCTTCTAGAGCTTATTTCCTCCTCATTATGATCATTTTGATCATTAGCTCCTACTATTTTTCAAGGATTGTTACCTTTGGAACCGATTGGTCTACCACGCTTCATGCGTACAGTAAACTCTATCCTTCAGGGACTTTAATTTTAATAGGAGCATTTGCAGCTGAAATATGATATTTAATTTTGGATCAGCAAATGCTTCTGGCATTCGACTTGAATTATCTTCTAAGTGAGGATCATGATAATTCGATTCATATAGCATATTTTTCAACTGTTTATTCCATCCCCCAAATGTTAGAAAAACTAACATATATCCCCAATCATCTTTGGGAAACATATCTTTGTGTATTATGGTAGAGAAATTAATCATATACCACGCA